TATATATATAGCTTGTGTATGTTACTTTTGCACTTGTCATTATATGAGTATTTGATGCCCATGCAGGTTATTTTAATGTAGAATAATAGTCAGAACTTCCGGGAATTAGTTTCATCTTTAAAATATAGTGCTTGGTATTTTGCATGGGTAGGATTTGAGAAATATGCTGTTATGCACTTCCTTTGTTTTACTGATGAAAAGGGCTGATAATGCATAATAATAGCATAATAAATACTTAAGTAGACCCTTATAATTATGACTGGGTGCAAATGTCAAGTCCAGGCTTTCCTATGATTGAGTTCTGATACCTGAAGCAGAACAGGATAAGAACAGTGATTGACTAGAATTTATTGATATTATCATATTCAAAATCAGGTATCTAGTTATCAGAGAGAAACTGGACAAATTCTGGTTGTATTTCAGCATATTTGTATTATTGAATACTTTTAACTAACTTAAAAATCAAATTATTTTTCCTTATGCAATGAGATAGAATGCAGATTCTTATAAATTTCTTAACTGCTGACAAAAAAAAGTAGGCTTTGATTAAAGGGTATCAGTATACCATTTCTGGTGAATTTTATGTATTTTGGTAGCTTTTTCTGCTGTAGCAAATATTTGACAAAACGAACCATTTAAATGAAAATTTTATTTAGCTAAGACTGAAGAATCTGTTTCCTCTATTTGAAAACATTATTTTGCTGGTATATATTTCCAAAGTGGAGGCATGTATTTCAAATATACAGTAAAATAAACATTTGATTTGAGGCCAATGGCTACAGGGCTAGTGTTTTCTGAGATGTTGCCTCGGGCCTTACATCTCTTTTTTCTATACTTTACAAATTCCCTATGATCTACCTTTTTAGTTATTGCAGTATTGGTACATTTGAGATTTAGCAAAAAACATAGAAAAATAGTAGGTAGACCCAAACTCTTCAAAACTGTTTCCTTAAAAATGTACCCATACAGTTATTGTGTGTTTATATTGGAGGCTGCTGGGTGTTAGTTTTTAGTAATCTGTTGAATTTTTAGAATTGCATGTCACTTCACACACATTAGATGCAGTTTTTATCTATAAAACCAAAGAAAATACATTTCATTTCCATTTCATGCAGTTTTAGTTTTTCTTTTTTTAATTCAATAGGTAACATTTCTTATGAATTTTAATCTTTTCTTTTAGGCCAAGTTATGATTGACAAAAACCCAGGAATCACTTCAGCAGTAAATAAAATCAACCATATAGATAACACTTACCGAAATTTCCAAATGGAAGTGCTATATGGAGAGGAGAACATGATGACCAAGGTATTTTTGTCTTACTGTCGTGTTATATAAAATTTAATGTTTAGAATGAGAGATGACAAAAATTAAAATATTTTTAATACCCAGTATGAGTATGTGAGAATGTGAGCATTTCCATATACTATTGATGGGAGTCTAAATTTGATACATTCAGGACAAGTGTATGATAATACACAGGGTGGGGCAAAGTAGGATTATAGTTGTTTATACAGAAAATAATACAATAATTAATAAATAAAAATACGAGAATAAACTGTGCTTCACATAATCACAATTATAAACCTACTTTTGCTCACCTTGTATAGCAACTTTGCATAAGTATGTCTTTTGACCTAGCATTCCATTTATAGGAAGTTATCCCAAGGGTGTAAGTAAACAAAATTATAATGATGTATGCACTAGGTTCTTCATCGTTATTTTTATAGTAACAAAATAAGTAAACGAATGAGGACAACCTGAATGTTCATCAGTAGAGTACTCATTAAATTCTGGCATAACAATACAATGGAATATTCCATCATTAAAGGTTATTTAGCTCCATACTTATTAAAATAAATTGCCCACTGACAGGTGAAGCAAGTATATAACAGTTCAATTTTAACTAAATATCTATGTAAATATGCACATATATCAGAATGTTTAACAGGGGGCATACTTTTTATGTGTTATTGGTGACCTTTGTTATCATCTTTATACTTTTCTACTGCCCAAATATTTCTTTTATAAGAAAAATCTATTTCAAAGAAAAACATAATTTAAAATATGTAGGAATAGATTCCTGATATAAAATAATTTATAATTCTCCACCCCAAAAATCCTCAGGAGTACTGGATGTAATAAACTATTTTTTGTCCAAAAGTCTTACAGTATGATATGTTAATGTGAAATTTTGTACCCAAGCTAGAAAATAGGCTAAACTCTATAAGTTGACAAAAATTTTAATAACAAAGGCACTCTTAAAATGTTAAACGTATTTTTCAAACAGGACTTTATAAAACTCAGGACAGAATTTATGCAAAATAATTATTTTGTAAGATTCTAGGACACATAACCTTAGGTGAATATTATTTTAAGTATAACATTCTCTCTCCATAATTTAATATCAGAATATTAAAATACCATTTACTACACACTTACTGTTGGGCCCTGAGTTAAATGCTTGAAATGTAGCAAATCCTAAGAAGCCCACAAGATAATGATGGTTGTTATTAATATGCTCTTTATGCAGGTAAAGTAACAAGGAATGACTGAGCAGGGTGTTTGGAGCCAGGCTTCTGACTCCAGAGTCCATGCATGGTCTTTCCCTGTACAGCAAACCTCCACTGCCTACTACTTGTGTATAATGTATGAGGTCTGTTATGGCAAGTCAAATTTGAATGTGAATCCTTTGATAACAGTGTTTATTTCAGTTGACATTAAGGCATACACTTAATTGAACATTGTGCATGTTCTTCACTTGGTACTGACTCTTAGGGTAACAGGTATCATCATCATCCTTTTCAAGAGATCTAAACGTTCTAAGAAACTTCTGTAATGTAATAAATGCTTTGTAACTGATTTCCTAATTCATGAAGTTTGTTCTTAGGACATATGTTATACCTAATACTTTTACCATAAAATATATGTTAAAAGTCAGTATAATTTCAGTGCTCCAAAGAGTCACATTTAAGATAAACTTTAGGAGTTCATACGACGTTTAAATACTATGTGTGTGTATTTTAAGTAAAAAGATTCCTGAGAGTGAATTTGGCAGAAATTAATGCTAAGGGAGTGAGGTATCAAAGGCAGCATGAAGAAAACCAGAGGGATATTTAGAATCTAATTTTTAAACTAGATCTGTGCCTCACGTTAAGGAACTGAAAAGGGGGAGTAGAAAGGAGATTTCAGGAAAAGCAGTCATAAGACATAGTTAAACCTTCCAGGTTGTATACCCAGAAAGACTTTTAATTGGGCAGAATCATGAAGAAATATTTCCAACTCTGGAACCTTACTAATATAGCCAGAGCATTTGATGTGGTTGTGAGGGGAAAAAATATGTACAAATTTGGAAATAAAGCCCATGAAAGCAGAATATAAAAGACATATCTCTATCAGATTTATAGAACTTTCTGGCCTTTGATTCTTTATGAATTCAAATTGGGAAAGAAGAAAATAGGAGAATGATTTGTTCTGTACACTGCTTCTAATTTATAAATATGAAACTTGCAAAGTCCAAGTATCTACAAACATAGCAAAATACTTGAAAATTGAATAACACATGACTTATCTATCATGCCTTCCTCCTACAAACTGAAAACTAGGTAAGGAGGGAAGTGCTATGTGGAAGTGCTGTTTGCAACTTAGCTACTCACCATGAAGATACAGGTAGTGTGTTGTTTCAGATTATTGATTTTTTTTTCCCTCCATCAGGTCAGCCAGTCAATTGGTCTATCTGAAAAATTCCCCATGTGGCTTGGGAACCATTTTATGGCCCTTTATGATGAATGAGATAGGGAGCCATTTGACTTTGACGAGATGACTTCTCATGAAAAAGTCTAAAGCAGGATTTTAACTGGTCTCAAGTATAGCATGAACACTAGAATTCTAATCAAAATGCCTTTAAATGCACTGTCATTTGCTCCTAGTAGTAGTATATTGGAATATGTATATGTGCATGGGTGCATCTATCCATATCAATAACTGAAATTGAAAACTAAGCAAATTAACCAAAAACTTAATACCTTTTTCAGGTTCGGGAAAACAACTATACCTATGAATTTGATTTTTCAAAAGTCTATTGGAATCCCCGTCTCTCTACAGAACACGGCCGTATCACAGAACTTCTCAAACCTGGAGATGTTCTATTTGATGTTTTTGCTGGGGTTGGGCCCTTTGCCATTCCAGCAGCAAAGAAAAACTGCACTGTATTTGCCAATGATCTCAATCCTGAATCCTATAAATGGCTATTGCACAACTGTAAATTAAATAAAGTGGACAATAAAGTAAAAGTCTTTAACTTGGATGGGAAAGACTTCCTCCAAGGACCAGTCAGAGAAGAATTAATGCAGCAGCTGGGACCACTGTCAAAAGAAAGAAAGCACGCTGTGCACATTGTCATGAACTTACCAGCAAAGGCAATTGAGTTTCTCAGTGCTTTCAAGTCTCTTTTGGATGGGCAGCCATGTGGCAGTGAGCTCCTTCCCATAGTACACTGTTACAGCTTTTCCAAAGATGCTAATCCTGCTAAGGATGTTCAGCAACAAGCTGAAGCTGTGTTAGGCATTTCCTTGGATTCTTGCAGTTCAGTTCATCTAGTAAGAAACGTGGCCCCTAACAAGGAAATGTTATGCATCACCTTTCGGATTTCTGCTGTTATACTCTACAAGAACCAGACCCTTGATCTAGGTGAGCAATTTCTGGAAAATTAAATGTAAGCTATAATACTTTTCATGTAGCTTTCTTAGACTATATATTTCATATTGTTTATTAAATTTGGAGTGGGTTAAACTAATTCTAGTTAGATATTTCAGTTTAAGTCCCCTTGTCATTTGTGATTGGTTTCTCCCAACTTAACAAATTTTATTAAGTCACACTGTTCAATATAGTAGAAGGCTATTTCATTAAATAATAACTCCACAGGAATTAATATAAGTTGAATAGATTAAAAAGCCTATATTATTTGCCTTTTAAACATATTTTCAAGTGTTAAGTATCTTATCTAATACTAGAGGCCCGGTGCACACAATTTGTGCACTCAGGGGGGCTTCCTTCAGTCCGGCCTGTGACTTCTCCCAGTCTGGGAGCCCTCGGGGCATGTCCAACTGACAGCTTAGGCCTGCTCCCCGGGGGCATACTTAGCACTGCTGTGGAGGCAGTAAAGGCTCCCTTCACCACTGCTACAGTCACCAGCCATGAGCCCAGCTTCTGGCACACTGACCAATAGGAGGCAGCTCCTGTGTTGACCGTCTGCACCCTAGTGGTCAGTGCCTGTTATAATGACCAATCATTCTGCTGTTTGGTCGATTTGCATATTAGCCTTTTATTATCTAATATAAGTTTTCTGGATCTGTTACAGAGAATCATGAAGATCCTCCACCTCTTAAACGCCAGAGGACTGATAAAGCCTTCTCAGAAGAAAAAACAACAATTGCTTAAATGACTTAATTGGAACTATTTTCTCCATCTCCCCACTAGATTGTTATGTAGTGAAATATAATTTGTATGATTTCATAAAATTTTGGCATTTAGTTACTTTAGTATTAAACTGTTATATTTTGCCCATGTTGTATTGTAAATTGAGGATTATCAAAAGTTTAAATGAAAATGAAATGTCTATTAAACATTTTATTACCTAAATTATACTATATAAGTTTATTATCTAAATTATTTAAATACATTTAAATATGTTTGTCTCTTGTATACTAACTGGGAAAGCACTAATATCACTTTGCAGACATCCTTAGCTGAAGACTGTTGCTAAGTTTTATATAGTACTCTTATACTATCACTTAAAAGTAATAAAAATGAGATTATTTAGATCAGGAATATGCAACCCATGTCTGGCAGCCAAATCTGGCCTGCCACCAGTTTTTGTATGGCAAATAATTTGAGAATGGTTCTTACATTTTAAAATGGTTGACAAATAATCAAAATAATAAGATTTGGGGGGACACAGATGCGAAGGGGCACATACAAGAATCAACCAATGAATGCATACATAAGTAGAACAACAAATTGATGTTTCTCACTTCCTCTCTCTCTAAAAAAAAACATGTTTTAAAAAAGTTAAAATAAGATTTCCCTTCACACACAGATTAGCAGTAGATATTTTCAGAGTTCAGCATTTTTGGGTCGTTGGTGCAAATGCAAAGGAAATTTCTGTCTTTCAAAATCCATTTAACTACAATTGAGCTTCCACCTAATCTTCAATTGAAAGTGAATAATGTGCTGTGTAATGACATACTAAAAGGCAGATATCAAGGGAAGAATCTAATAGTCTTACAAATGCCTTCCAAGTGATGAATATGCTCAGAATCATATGCTTCTGGATTGCTATCTGTATTAGGCAGCCTCTATCTGTGTGAAAATGTTACCAAAGAGATGAGAAGACCTCAGCTCTTACCTTCTTGAGGGAAGGATTTCAATCAAGAGACAAAATGTAGAAAAGCAAGCAAGAATTTATTGACTGCAGCAAAAACATTCTTGGGGCAGTGAAACAAGGAAGGGCAAAGAAGCAACAGGACAGCCTAGGCTGGGCTGCTTTGGCTCACTCAGAAGTCAGAGAAAAGGAGACAGGTTCGGGGGTTATCCTGGGATGAGCTGAAGGTGCCCATTGCACCCCAAGTTGGAAGTCTCAAGGGATCCCTTAGGTTAGGGGATACATGTAGTTGGAAGAAGGGAATGGCACAGGCATACTCCTTGGAGAGAGAGTGCACTGGGGCCTTCATTTTTAAGGGTTTTTAAGGGCTGGGCATTTAGGGGAGGAGGTCTTAGGGGCAGATCAAAAGAATATTCATCAGCTTATGTTAATGTACCAAAATGAGATTTATTCTCTTACTGTCCTTGGGTGTGGTTGGCAAATGGCACTTAGATTTCTGTTATGCCTCCCTGAGTAGGGTGATTTAAGCTGTTAACCCGCTAGTTGGAGAGAAGTGCAAATCACTTACCCTTAGTAGCCTTTGGGGAAGATAGGACTTACTAGGTGGCTGCAAACTGCTGTTTTAACTATCTTTAAGTTTCCCTATTCCGTTTGTCCTGGAGTTTTCCTGGCTTTTTACTATTCTATAACAAAAAGACTTATTTTTTTAAAGGTGAAATGTGTAAAATCTCATTACAGATAACCATTAACAGGTGATCATTTACAATTGATTTTAATGATAGGAAACACTTAGAATTCCCATTAAAGGAAATGTTATTCCTCCCAAAAAAGGCATTACAGAAAATAATTATATCTGGAATTTTGTTAATTAAAAAATTGTGCCAATTTATCTATTGTTATATAAGTACCTACTTTAATGTCCTCAATTTTGCTTAGTCCACAAAGCCTAATATATTTACAATCTAACCCTACAGAAAAAGCTTTGAGGACCCCTGATCCAAGTCATTAATTACAAACTCAAATGCCTTCAGAAGCCAGACAGGTAATATAAGTAGATGAAGACAATCAATGATAAGAAGTGTAGAAAAGTAATGAATTGGAGCCTTTATTCCTTATCTAATGGCACTTTAAAAAATCATTTTGAAACTCAACCCAACCTCAAGCAAGAACTTGAGGGCTAATTCAGCCAGGGATTACTAGTTTGGGACTTCTAATTTTATTACCCTCCTTTTCCTCCCAGGGAGAAGTATGTAGGTCAGGGGTCAGCAAACTTTCTATAATGGGCCAGATAGTATTTTAGGCTTCATAAGTCATAATAAGGTCTGTAGCTTCTCAACTCTGCCATAGTAGCTCAAACGTAGCCATAGACAATACATAAACACTGTGTTCCCAAAAAACTCTATTTATGGACACTGAAATTTGACTTTCATATGCTTTCCATGTATTAAAAAGTATATTAATCTTTAGGCATTTTTCAAACTTGAAAAGAATGTAGATACCAATCTTAGCTTACAGAGCATACAAAAGCAGGCAGTAGTTGGATTTGGCCAGGGGTCAATAGTTCGCCTCCTCTTGATCTAGTCTAGGTGAAGAAAATTAATTGCAAGTAGGAATAAAATTTTCTAGTACTGTATGTGCTAGTTATGAATATTAAATATGGGTAAAAATGATATTATTTGTACATGTAAAGTGCTAAGATTCCTGCCTCCATTTAGTCATGCCTTAGACAAAATATGCAGTATGTAGTTGTAAAGAAAACATAATCCTTAAATGCTTCTATTAACATTTTAATACCCCCTACCCTTTTTCCTCAGCATGGATAAATGAATGTGTGATTATTTCATTATTTAAATCTAGGCCCTCCCTAAACTTTCTGATGGTGATGGCTGATAATAACTAAACTCTGATGAATGCACTAGAAACTGACAGCTCATTAGATAAAATTTTTAATTTTGTTAATTTTTGACAAGTTTTATGCCACCTTAAATTGAAATGATTATCTCATCACCTGTTGACAGCCTAAAGATAACGTCTTAAAAAAGCATAGATCAAATATTTATTGAATGAAATTAAGGAATAATGCATCCCAACTATGATATAAATGTATTCAATACCACTAATATCTGCTTAAAAGGAGGAGAGTAATTAATGGTCAATCATGTTCTATGTCATGAATTTCTTAACTTCTCTCAGGATATCAAGAAGGTTATTTAGATTATGTCATTTATATCTCGTAAAAAAACTAGGTACTTGATATATAAAATTTCTTTGAAATCTTAAGAAGATTTCTACTCAGATGATTTTACACAGCTATTGTTTGTAAGTTTGAACCTGACAGTCATCTCAAGAGGACGGACTCTGGAATTTGACCACTTGGATTCAAATCCAAATTCTGCTACTTTTAGGTTGTGTTGACCTTTGTGAAGTTATTTGACCTTTGTGAAGTTATTTGCCCTTTCTAAATAACTTGCCTCAGCTTCTCAATCTGTTAAAGTGGGGAAAATAGTATTATCACTGTTGTAAGGATTAGAAAATGCACAAAGCAGGAAGCATCATACTTGGCACATGCTCAGTAGTTGTTAGCTATTACTTCTGTGCTAGTAAAATGTTAAAAGTAGTAATTCATGCCAATGGTTGAGCATCCACCCATGAACAAAGAGGTCACTGATTTAATTCCAGTCAGGGCACATGCCCAGGTTGCTGGCTTGATCCCCAGTAGGGGGTGTGCAGGAGGCAGCAGATGGATGATGTTTCTCCCTCATCAATGCTTCTATCTCTCTCTAAAAATAAATAAAAACATTTTTTTAAAAAAAGAAGTAATTCATGTAGATAAAAGACTTACACAACCCTTTGTCTCCAAGAGGAAATCACTGGAAGGATAGGGAATAACAATCAATTTAGAATATTTCTGTTATTTAGTGAATTATTGTCATTAGGTTAGCTTTCACCATTCCCTTTGATCTAATAGGATCATTTAACAACTCCTAAATTCTGCCTATTGAACAAAACATGGCAATAGTAAGGGCAAAATATTTAGAAAGGCACAGAAGTTTTGGAATTTATTTGCCAAATCAAGTGCAGGCAATTCCCACAATAATAAGATAGGCTCAAAAAAAGTTTCAAAAGTGTTTGAAATGTTCTATTAATTAGTTAATTCCATTTAAATACATGATGCAAGGTACTAAGAACTAGTAATAGTGTTTCTTTTTGAAAGACAATACCTAGCTTTGTCAGCAGAGTAGACAGAGCAAAGCCTTAACTATAGGTCCAAAGTTCTCACTGTTCTTTGAATAGATTTATAGATTTTATCAAAAATGCTAATTCTCAGTTGGGGAATACTGATAAAAGAAACAGGATGTAGCCTCATAGAGTATAGATAAAACTAGACTTCAAAACAAAAAACCTGTTTTCTAATTCTGGCTTTTTACTAACTTGTGTATATGATCTTGCCCTACTCAATTATTTGATGCCTTGGTGTTCTCAAGTATCAAAGATGGTTAGAAGTACTGTAAAGATAAAGATGTACTCCTGAAATTAATACTTGCTTAGTCAAGTAAGATGGAGTTGTTACATAAGGATATTTCACACAACTTTCCACTCATAAAATTAACATCTGCTATAATGGGGATTTGATAGGAAATCCCTTAATTTGCTTGAGAAACTATGTCCCATACCCAGTGGTCTGTATAATAATCATAAATGGTTGAGATCCAACAAATATCCATCCTATCCACATCCAAACTCTTTAAGCAAAATCCTGGTATACTAAAAATCTTTGAAGTTTCAACAGAAACGACATCAGAGTCTCATAAGGAAATTTCATTTAAAATGTATCCATTACAGTCAGTCTCCAAAGTTTCATCATAAAATGAGTTCACTTTGGAGGTGAAAGGTGCCATTTAAGTATTAAGTTTTATTAACTTACTTCTTTGAATTTGTCATTAAAGCAGGTTAATATTCTTCTCTAGTTTATCCTAAGTATGGCTCACAGCTGGGAACTGTAACACCTTGATCAAGGTTTGTCTCACTTTCCACTGCTCAAAACAGGCACTGAGTCCTTAATATTAAAACAGTGACTTTATCACAGGTCAGGTTTTACTTGCCATAACTTTCTGGTAGAAGGAAATATATCCACTTGTCTGGACTAGTATTAAGAAGACATTGGGAAAATAAGGAACATTTTATGAGAAGAAATAATAGACTTGGATATTAACACTAAATGTTGTATTCAAATGGCATTTTATAATGTACAGTAAAACACTGTAATAAGAGAAAAACCACAAAACTTAGCATAAAGTCTAGCTTTATTTTTAAAAAGATTTTACAAGTCTGTCAATTTCAAATATACATAGGTAAATTATTCATATCTTTCATCAGATGAGGCTTCAATCCCTCTCAAAAAATATAAGTAAAAAATCTGTTCCCACAAATATGTTTGCACTATATGCTCAGCTTAGTTCTGAAATGTTCTCTATAAATACTTTAGCTCAGCTGCTCTGCTGATACTGTCGTTGTGCAACTACCTATGGCTACAAGTTTACAGGTCTGCTTTACTTTAGTCAGCTCCATAGCTCTGCTCCGAGGTCCAGATCTTATAAAAGAAGAATAAAGGTTAATTGGCCTGCCAGAAAAGCCCACTGAATGCATCCTGTAGTGCTCTGTGGCAAGCAAGAGAAGAAGTATAGCCTCCAGCAAGGTCCTGTGGAGAGGCAGCTCTGACGTGGTTTAAATACCTAAAAAACAAAACAAAAATGTAACATTGATATAAAAAGCACATAAAACTGGTAATATTTTAAAAATCGATGGTAAAGCTGTGGATGAAAAAGAGGCCACATACTAAACCTAACCAGTTCAGGAAGGCCTGCATGGCAGGCCTTACAAACTCAGATATCTAAAGTAACCACATAGGATAGTCTGAAATTAGAACTTCATAACTAAAAGCAATGCATGGTTGTAGTCCTGTCCTAGGCAGGTATCTTCCTTGACAAAGGTCAATCTTCACCTTACCTAAACCTGTCTATTGTCTTTTGCATTTATGATAACACTAGAGGCCCAATGCATGAAATTCGTGCACCAGTAGGGTCCCTAGGCCTGGCCTGTGATCAGGGCCGATCATCCCCGGCTGCCAGCAGCCGGCCCTGCCCCAGCCACTAACGCTGCCGGTTGCCCTCCATTTGTGGGGCAACCGGAGGGGCGATTGGGGCCCTGTTTGCTTGCACCCCCCTTGGCCTGGTGCCGCCTGCGTCTGCCGCCACCTACCCCCAGTTCCCATTCCCCATCAGGCGATCGGAGCCTGCTGGTCAGGGTGACGGACCAAGAGGTTGGCTGTTCCCGTCCGCTCACTGGCCCCACCTCCCACCGCCAGTCACCCTCTATGTGGGGCTACCAGTAGGGCAATTAGGGCACTGCTCACTCGCACCCACCTTGGCCTGGCACCGCCCGTGTCCGCTGCCACCCACCCCTGGTTCCCCATTCCCCATCGGGCAATTGGGGCCTGCAGGCTGGGGGCAGACACTCAATGCAGGAGCTGCATTGAGTATCTGCCCCCTGGTGGTCAGTGCGCATCACAGCGGCTGGTCGTTCCGCTGTCTGGTCGAATTGCATATTACATTTTATATATATAGATAGGAATGTCAGGGTAATTTCCCTTTTCCATACTCCTCAGGGCACAATTTCCCATCAGAGCAGAGACCACAAGACCCCCTCATTGTTACTGTTATCCTGTTAATTGTCAACTGTTAACTATCCTATACCCACTAATGTAAGAGAAGTATGTGTCTATTTGAGTTATTTTTATGCAATCCGAGATATCACTGGCTTTGCTTTCCCCCACCTCCCTAATCTACCACCAATGGATTTCATGTAACTCCCCTTAGGCTTGCCTCCTCCTCTGACTGTAGTGTATAAAATAAGGTGCAAAACTGCCATCCTCTGGAGCATTTTCTCAATCCCTTGAGCTTTTTGCTTCCCAGCAATTGTCAGTTTGGCTCAAATAAACTCATAAAAATTCTTACAGGTTTGGGCATTTCCTATGTTGACAAGCAGATTCAAATTTTAAAGAGGAATTCTGATTTGAAATGTACATCTGATGAGAGAAAAGCTCTCCTTTCAGATGAAGGTCAACCCCATGGTGAGGGACCATATGGGGAATGCTCTCTGCCAAATGCTTTACAGTATTTGGAACATCAAGTGCATAAAGATCTTTTTCTAAAAGTTCAATTTAAGTCTCAGTTAATTTTTGTCTGAGGGAGGAATATTTTTTCCTTAAATCATTGAGGTTTCTTTCAGCAGTCTGAGCTGCCAATCAATTATCATGTGCTTTCTTCTCAGGGGAAATAATCTGCCCTTGATAAGAATGAATGGTTCTCACCCTAGCCAGTTTGGCTCAGTGGATAGAGCATCGGCCTGCGGACTGAAAGGTCCCAGGTTCGATTCTAGTCAAGGGCATGTACCTGGGTTGTGGACACATCCCCAGTAGGGAGTGTGCAGGATGCAGCTGAATCGATGTCTCTCTCATCGATGTTCCTATTTATCCCTCTCCCTTCGTCTCTGTAAAAAATCAAAATATATATTAAAAATAAAAATAAAAAAAGAATGAATGGTTCTCTCCAATTCTTTAAGATCTTTGGCTCGCTTTCTGTGGGTCTCCAACTCTTCAGCTACATGGCTGATCTTTTCCACCTGCTTTAGAAAGTTTTTCCTTTTTTTTCTAACAGGTAATTTTCTTCTGTTATTTTCCTAAGAAGTATGATTACATTTACTTGATACAGGTTAGCCATTACTTTAAGTTTGTGCTGAAGCTTTTGAGTCTCATTTTCAAGCTGTTCATTTTCTGACTGTAAAGACGCTTCTTCATTCTGAAGATTTTCAGTACACTCTATAAGCTCTTCCTTTGTTTTTTCTACTTCAGTTAATTGAGTGTATATTTGGTTTCTTTCTCCTTCAAGCGTTTTTAAAGAAGCCTTTAGCTTAGCAGGATGAATCAGCTTCTTCAAAGCTCCTTTTGGTTGATTATCTAAGAATGCACCATTTTATGAATCACTCTTCAGTACCAATTCCAAGTTATCCCTTAAGTCTTCTCCTAGCACAGCAGCCCACTCTTGCTGCAAGCATTCATTTCATCAGAGACTTGATCTGATTTTCATTACCACATAGAATTTGTTTTGCATATACTTTGGAGTCTTCAATGTTATTTTCTTGTTTATTTTGTTCACTCATTTATTTCATTCTTCAACTTCTTGTAAAAGCTATTTCTGGCTTTCCTGAAGTTGGGAATTTTCACTCAAAGCATCTTACGGCTCTCTTAGGTCCTTCATTCGTTTGAAATATTTTGAAGGTTGCTTTGGCTTCAGCTACCTATGACTTGAATGATTCTCATTCATCTTCCAAGGACTGGATCCTTTTTTGAAATATCCACCATCAATTCAAATTGCTCAGAATGTTTCGATTTCTCTCCCTTCAACTTTTTCTAGAAAGAGTATCTCTTCCTCAAATGCAGATTTGGAAGAGTTCAGCTTTTCACAGATTGCCTCCAAACTTTAAGCTTCTGTTGACTCCTTCTCAAAGCTGGAATCCTTTAATGACTAAGCTGCATTCTGTCCAGAACTCAAACCCGCACCGGGCAACGGCAACCAGACCACTACCGAGCTGTGTGTGCGGGGAGAGGGGAAGTGTGGGCTGGGGGGGCGGGGCATGCTGGAGGACATGGCGCCAGCAAGCCTCAAGTGTCCAAGTTATATGCTGGGGAGCCTTGTCCACTATGTTATGATTTGCGTCTCGAAGGTCCAAGGCAAGAGCCTGAGATTTTCCCTCTCCTCGCCACACACACCTCGGTTTAGTTTCAGCCAGGCCAACCAGGCACCTGCAGGAAGGTGGGACATGGTGAATTTATGCTACTACTTTAGGGAGGTTCACAGACCGGGCCTTTGCTCTTAAAGGGGTTGGCACTCTACCTGGCAAAGCTACTCCACCTTTGGAAGCCCAGGAACTCAGGGCTGAGAAAATGGGATTTGGCTCAGGCTCTACACTGTGGTATGGGCCACTCAGCCCAGATGACAAGGACTTTGGCCCAGGACACACATACCCCACCCCCCAAACAAACACTCTACGGGGTGACCTTGAGGCTCCCCCTGGAGACCTCTCCATGCAGCCCGGTTGAGTGCTGCACACCGCACTCCTGGACCAGGGGCCAGCGCCAGCCCCAGCCCCAGTACACAGCGCTTTGTTCTTGCAGCCCTGTAAGAGCCCATGGATGCTCAGAGGAACCTGCCAGTCTGGGAAAACGGGTCGCACCATTTGTGGCAGGATTTTTGGCAATATTTTATAAGCCCTTCAGACCTATACTTAATTTACAGAGGATTTATTTATAATGATGAACCCTTAAAGCACAGAGCTTGGGACAATCTCAGCTTGTTTCTGTCTTCATTACAAAACCAAGGATTTTTGTTTTGACTAATTATGTTTATTTGGGCACAGACACATTTACTTAAGTCTTCTTTTATGAATACTCTGCTGAGTTCTGCTCGCCATACTGTTTTTTCATTCTTTCTTTCATTTGCTTTATATTAGTGTGATATTGCCTACTACCCTATGATAATTTATACTTTCTTTCTTTTTGTTTTCTTTTAAAAAGGTTACTTTTGTTCAAATTTATTTGAAAGCATTCTTAGAGGTGATTTGTGGGAACAGCTTGGATGAAGATGGACCAATTGCCTGTCACTCTTTGTAAGTCCCCATGCAACTATCTAATCCTTTACCATTCATTACATTTTTTTAAAACCTTCAAAGTTTTGGGCTTTGATCTCTATTTTTTATCCTTCCTATAATTAAAATATAATAAAATTGTAAGTGAAGAGTAAGTGTGCATACATGAATAAAAAGTTGTACTCACTGTCAAAAGGATATCAGAATAGAGAATGATCTTGGAAGACTGTTGTGTTATAGACATTTGCACACTGAACTCTATTCCTGTTAATAAGGAATTACAGATGGGGAAGGTTTATCTATTCAGCATTCACAGGGGTGGGCAAAAGTAAGTTTAATCCTAGTTATAATACAAATAAATAACACAATAGTTAATAATACAAGAATAAACTCTGGAGCGTGTGGGTCTCTTCCCTCTTGCGGCCATCGTAGGAGCTCCAGCGGTCAAAATGAAGTTCAACCCCTTTGTGACTTCTGACCGGAGCAAGAACCGTAAAAGGCATTTCAATGCACCTTCCCACATTCGGAGGAAGATCATGTCGTCTCCTCTTTCCAAAGAGCTGAGACAGAAGTACAATGTCCAGTCCATGCCCATCCGAAAGGATGATGAGGTTCAGGTTGTTCGAGGACATTACAAAGGGCAGCAAATTGGCAAAGTAGTCCAGGTTTACAGGAAGAAATACGTCATCTACATTGAACGAGTGCAACGGGAGAAAGCTAATGGGACCACGGTTCACGTGGGCATTCACCCCAGCAAGGTGGTGATCACTAGACTAAAGCTGGACAAAGACCGCAAAAAGATCCTTGAACGTAAAGCCAAATCTCGCCAAGTAGGAAAGGAAAAGGGAAAATACAAGGAAGAAACCATTGAGAAGATGCAAGAATAAAGTAATATTATATACAACTTTCATTAAAAACTTAAACTGAAAAAAAAAAAAAGAATAAACTCTGTTTTGTGTACTCAACTGTAAACCTACTTTTGCCAACCCTGTATGTTCTGAAACAAATACATAAACAACTGAGAGAAGGA